GGGGACCAAGGTCAAAGAAACTGGCCTTAGAACACACCGTGCTGCGAATAAGATTTGAACCCATTTCTACAAACTCCCAGTCTAAGGTTTCCTTTACTCGGTGGAAACTCCTATATCAAGTTGAAGACATGAATCATTTGTTCAATTTAATTAAGTGTTCGTAAACTGAGCATGGGCACTGGAGACACAGCGCTGGATGAGCCGGGAAAATCCCCTGCTTTCACAGAGCTTAGAGGCCCAGAAGGAAGGTGGACAGTAAGTTATGTAAGGTGTGTTATGATGAGACCCACTTCAGATTCAGTACACGATGCAACGGGGGCGCCTCATGCTACCTAAATCTGGTGGATCACAGAGGGGCTCCTTGAAGAGCAGACTGATGCAGGAGTAGGTGTTACCCAGCCAAGGAGGTGGCTGAGGGAGATAAGAGAACAGAAAGCGGTCCTACGGCTGGTGTGAGTGATCCACGGAGAGCGATGGCTAAACCAAGGATTTTAGAAATAATCTTAAGGACAACAGGAAAGGGAGGAAACCAGACCACAGTGGGTGTGGATTGAGAGCAACAGAGAGCCTGGAGTCCACATGGTTCAGCTTAGAGTCCCTCGCCTCCCATTACCAGATAATGTTAAGAATGCACAAATATTTAATTTCCTAAAAGACTGAAGGAAGAGAAACCAGCGCTCTTCTTCAGTTCAGACAATTTCTGTCTGCTAAATAGCTGCTGCATTCTAGGGCATGTGATACCTGTACTAGGCGCCATTCAGACTCAAGGAGCAAGTAACTATGTCCTGGTGTCTGCTTACCCATTACATTCAGAGCAGTGCTTATGAGCACCTCACCGACAGCAATCTGATGGAAAGACAGGACAAAACAAAATGCAACAGCTGGGCCCGTCTGCAAACAGCTATTAGGCAGACTGCTTAACATTTTAACAAAGAACCAAGTTGATCTCGGGATTACCTCCGAGAGTAAGAGAATTTGGGAGTTTTATTTTTTTTTAAATATTAAGAACAAATTTCAATTTTATGCCACCAAATTACTTTTTGCTTAAAAATATGAGTGCAGGGCTTCCCTGGTGGCGCAGTGGTTGAGAGTCCGCCTGCCGATGCAGGGGACGTGGGTTCGTGCCCCGGTCCGGGAGGATCCCACGTGCCGCGGAGCGGCTGGGCCCATGAGCCATGGCCGCTGAGCCTGCACGTCCGGAGCCTGTGCTCCGCAACAGGAGAGGCCACAACAGTGAGAGGCCCGTGTACCGAAAAAAAAAAAAAAAAAAAAAGGAGCAGGTAGCAAATTGACTCCAGAAATGAAACTGTTTTCATCACAAGGAGACATTTTCAATGTGATTTGACAGTTTTCCATCAGCACGGATCAAAGAACATCAACCAGTGGACTAGGCCCTGGAAATATTTATGACTGTCCAGTTTGCTTTCTTTTTTAAAAAAGACAAACTATTCACAGTATTAAAAGCATTTGTATAACTTTCTTCTAACACACTATGCACAAATTTTCATATCTCAACATGGAAAGGATTCTGGTTGTATTTGAAAGGTTCGAGGGTATGTAATAAGCCTCACCGTTCACATATGATTTCACTGATACATTCATGGAACACATGTTGAGTCACTGTGCCAGACTGAGGACACAATGTCCTGCTCTTATGGAGCTCACAGCCTGGGAAATCCAAATGGAATGATTAATGGTTTTAGAATGTGTTTCTTTTGCTTGGCCGTTCTTCTCACTACTACCTCTAATTAAAAATTTAACGTTCTATTTTATAACGATTTCCAAATATCCCTTTTTACTATTAGAATTGTGTGAAAACACTCTTTTTCTGGGTACCTGTCATTCAGTGTTATGCCATAATGGCTGACATCATGAACTTATCAAGAGTTTCACTGCCATGATTCACTCTAGTTGATGCCTTATGTTCAAAAGGAAAGAAAGGAAAGGAAAGGAAAGAGAGAGAGGGAAGGAGGGAGGGAGGGAGGAAGGAAGGAAGGAAGAAGGAAGGAAGGAAGGGGATGCTAATGAGCATTGCTACCCGTGAAGCTCTTTACGGATAATGTATGATAAGAAAAGAAAAAAATTGAAACAAAAAATTTGGGGAGCAGAAATCTGGGAGCACAGAAAAAAGTAAACTAGAACTAGAATTGTGCAACAAATTAGAATTATTATTTTTTATTTTATTTTATTTTATTTTGCGGTATGGGGGCCTCTCACTGCTGTGGCCTCTCCCGTTGCGGAGCACAGGCTCCGGACGCGCAGGCTCAGCGGCCATGGCTCACGGGCCCAGCCGCTCCATGGCATGTGGGATCTTCCCGGACCGGGGCATGAACCCATGTCCTCTGCATCGGCAGGCGGACTCTCAACCACTGTGCCACCAGAGAAGCCCTAGAATTATTTTTAACCAAACTTGAGAAAACAGGAGGTTAATAATCCGTGAATGCAATCTAAGGAAAATCCTCAATTGCTTAAGCTAAGGATTGAGAAAATCTTAAATCAGATGTGTTAGCAAGAGCAAATAAATTATTACAATGCTTTAATTCAACATTAAATAAAATTTCAATCACCAGTTCCTCTTGTGAAGTCTACCAAGCGACTTGAACTGTGTCTCTTGCCTAGAAATAGGTCAGTTAAAAAAATGATTGCAGAGGAGTATATGATGATGTCTGATTTCATGAGTCATTTAATGCTTAATAAGAAAAGCAAATCAATCAAGGGGGAAAATATCAATAGTTCAAATCTGTTGCATCTGAGGTTTTAAATTTTATTTTGCTTCTTTAATTTTGAAATCTCAGCATTAGAAATCAGAATTTTTCATTACCTTTCTCTTTTCTTGTCTCAAGTGACCGTTTATTGAATTCATTGTATTACATATGGAAATTTTCAAATGCAGATTGTTTTACTTCAAAGGTTTTTAAAAATGTTGATTGCACAGAGAGAAGGTGCTGGGAATAAGAATTCACACCTGCATACAAGCAGGCATTTAAAACAACTGTCCATCATTTAAAATCTGCATTCTCATGCTTTAGCATCAGTGAGTTAAAAGAGGAACTTTACCACTTAGAGTTTCCATCAACCTGCATTTACTGATCCCCTGCAGTATGAACCCTGTGGTTTCAGAGCAGCACAACCTCACCCAACCACACGCAGCAGCTCCAGACTAGTCCCCCGTCTTCATTTAGACCTACCGTCTACCACCCAGCTCAAACCAAGGGGGGAAGAGGGGGTGGGAGGAATTGGGAGATTGGGATTGACATATACACTACTATGTATAAAATAGATAACTAATGAGAACCTACTGTATAGCACAGGGAGCTCTACTCAGTGCTCTGTGGTGACCTCAATGGGAAGGAAATCCAAAAAAGAGGGGATAGATGTATATGTTTAGCTGATTTACTTTACTGTACAGCAGAAACTAACACAACATTGTATAGCAACTATACTCCAATACGAATTTTAAAAAACTCATTGGGGGGCTTCCCTGGTGGCGCAGTGGTTGGGAGTCTGCCTGCTAATGCAGGGGACACGGGTTCGAGCCCTGGTCTGGGAGGATCCCACATGCCGCAGAGCAACTAGGCCCGTGAGCCACAACTACTGAGCCTGCGCGTTTGGAGCCTGTGCTCCGCAACAGGAGAGGCCGCGATAGTGAGAGGTCTGCGCACCGAGATGAAGAGTGGCCCCCTCTTGCCACAAGTAGAGAAAGCCCTCGCACAGAAACGAAGACCCAACACAGCAAAAATAAATAAATTAAAAAAAAACAAAAAAACTCATTGGGTAGTAAAGTTCCTTCTTATTTCTACAAATTCGAAGAATAGCTGTTTCAAAGCATAAAGTACAAGAAAATGAAAGACTGAAGGACTGAATGCTAGAGTTTTGCAGGCGGGGTTTCAGCAGAGCGCACAGCCTCATCCCCCAGGAGGGCAGGAGGGATGCTACGCAAGGACCAGTGTGTGTTCCCCAAACTCCTCCCGGTTCTTCCGGAAGCACAGCCTTAGTGCGTTTCCGAGACCCTCGTACAGGGGTCACGTGACTGCGTTCTGGCCAATGGAAATTACGTACACCACTTGCAGGCCTGGCCCCTGATCATCAGCGTACACAGTCCTCCAAGTTCTGTTTTTTCCTCTGCCCGTCGTCAGATGAACAGAATTCAGGGGAAGACAAGGTCAACGGGCTGGAAGAGTCCCTGTGAGGGCATGTGTGGAAGAGTCCCCCGCTTCTTCCTGCTGCACTCGTACTGGACTGTGACCAAGCAAGAACTTAGCCTCCACTGCATTACACCCCCGAAGCTTGGGGTTGCCACAGAAGTTATTACACGATGAATAACACAGGTGTAAAGTGAGATGGTGGCCAGGAGAATAAGAAAGCAAGTATCCTGGATTTACAGTTGGCCGCTCATGCCACATTACTGTGTGTGGACATGAAAATAGCAAAATCAGAACCACAGACAGGGGACTTCCCTGGTGGTCCTGTGGTTAGGACTCCATGCTTCCACTGCTGGGGGGTCCAGGTTGGATCCCCGGTCAGGGAACTAGATCCCGCGTGCCGCAACTAAGACCCGGCACAGCCAAATATATAAATATTAAAAAAAAAAAACCCCACACAACATAAACAAAAAGTTACTAAGCCAATATATTAAGGTTCAGCTACAGTTGAATACCTTGGCGATCATCCGTTTTTTTCTTCTAAGGTCTACATGTCTGTGTCACCTTTCCCCAGACATGTAGCTGCTGCCTTCCCCTTGGGAACCAATTGTTCACACGTCCCCTCCACATTTCCCCTATGATTATGTAGCTTCATTATCCTGCATTCCTTTCCCAAGTTGTTAAAATTATTTTCTGTTTTTCATAAATTGTTGATAGCCACTTCTTTGACATTAATGAATCTGTAAGGGGAGGAAGGTAAGCTCAATTATTTCAGCATAAAAATACAAGCCAGTTTTTCAAAAATTGTAATTTTGTTCTTGTTTAATATTTTCTTTTGTGTTTTTTTTCCCCTACCAGATATTGCAATATGTTATTATGGTCTGGTAATCAAAACCAGAATAATGATGATGCCACAATAGACCAATGGATTGAAATAGAAGACCCCAAAGCATGTAAGAAGCATAATAGAATACCCAGAAGTATATATAAATGCTACTCTTTTCCTCAGAGATTTTTTTTTTTTTTTTTTTTTTTTTTGCCATACCACGTGCCTTGCAGCATCTTTCCCGACTAGGGGTTGAACCTGGGCCACTGCAGTGAAAGCCCGGAATCCTAACCACTAGCCCAGGGAAGTCCCTATAAATGCCACTCTTGTGTGTACTTTTTTTTTTTTTTTCCGGTACGCGGGCCTCTCACTGTTGTGGCCTCTCCCGTTGCGGAGCACAGGCTCCGGACGCACAGGCTCAGCGGCCATGGCTCGCGGGCCCAGCCGCTCCGCGGCATGTGGGATCTTCCCGGACCGGGGCACGAACCCGTGTCCCCTGCATCGGCAGACGGACTCTCAACCACTGCGCTACCAGGGAAGCCCTCTATATTCTTTTTTAAAATAACACAGTGTAACAGCAAAGCCACCAGAATGGCTTCCAATCTTTCCCACCTCCTAGTTCACCCCCCACCATGTAATCCCCTCTTACTTTGTAGCAGGGTTGGTTTGTGTGGCCCTAGAACAGCAGGAGGGATGGCAGGTCCTCGGGATTTAGCTCACACTCCTCTTTTGGCTCCCTCGTTGTGGGGAAGTAGGTCGTCTCGCGAGAGGACACTCAGGCAGCTCTGGAGGGGCCCCTGTGACGAGGAACTGAGACCCAAAGCCAGCAAGAACCCAGGCCTAACAATGAACAGGTACGTGAGCTTGGAAGGCAGTTCAAGTGGCAGTTGAGCCAGTACCCAAGCGTACCATCCAGAGTCCTAAATCTCAGGAACCGTGCGAGACAACGAATGTTTGTTGCTTTGTGCTACTCTGACAAGTTTTGGGGTAATTTGTTACACATTAGATAATTCAACCACATAGCACATAAAATAAAATCAATAAAACTAATATGGGTCCATGATTAGTAAAGTACACGATTTGACAGTTTTGACACTTCTGTTTCATCTTGTCTTCCTCAAAATTAATTCCTTTGAGTAAAACATGTGATTACCAGTGTAACTAAAGGATTATTTTCCATTTTATTAAACTCATTAAACAGTATTGCAGTTTATTTGCTTCTATTTAAAAACATGATATGACTCTGGGAAAAAAGCTACTTCAAATTAGCCTAAAAACTATTATTTCTTTCTATCAATGTGTAAAAACATGATGCTTGCTTAGTAGAAGTTCCTATGAGGTAGACTGACTTAAACATATATTTAAGCATAACATTCTAAACAAACAAGTTCTTTTGAAGTCCTTGAAGATAGTTTTCTTTCTTGTGAACATCCCCCTTTATACTCCTAAGATTGTTTGCAATCTCTGTCATTATTCTTGGTAGATTTATACTTCAACAGAGTAACTGAATGCTAACAGTTCTGAACTAGCGAAGCTCCAAATAAAGAAGCTTTATTATGTGTGAGGGTGCTGGAAAGACTAAAACCCCAAGTTCTGAGTCAAGGCGATCATTCTGAGCAGCCTGTGTCTCTGCCAGGGTTACAGCACCAGCGTTCTCCGTGCTTCACTGAGGTTGGAATCCAGATATTGGTACTGAATTGTCTCAATCTGGTCACAGTGTTCGTTTTACTTTCCCACTCATTTTCCCTCAATGAGAATGACTGGGGATAATTGATTTTTCCATGTAGAAAAAGAATGAAAGTGAATCTCTATTTCACAATGTTAAAAACAAAAACAGAAACCCGAGTGAATCAAGGGCTTATGTGTGAAAGGCAGAACCTTAAGCATTTTGGAAGCAGATGGAGAGATTATCCTTAGGACCTTGGAAGAATTTCTTCATTAAAATACAAAAACCGCAAATCGCGAAGGAAAAGATTAGAAAATTTGAGTACACTGTGAACTTCTCTCTCTCTCTCTCTCTTTCTCTTAAGTATTATATTATGAAGAAGAATTTTTAGGGAGAATAATGTGACTTAATAAGCTTCATTATTTTGACAATTCTGGTGCAAATCGTAGTAATACAGAGTCAGAGATCTGGCTCCAAGATCACTTTTTTTGTGTGTGTGATTCTTGGTTTTGATGGCCTGTCATAGCCTTAATTTTCTCATTCATATTTTTCTTATATCCTGAATTTTCTCAATTATTGTTTTCTTTTTGTACTTTAGTATCTTTGTAAATTACATCAAAACTAAGGGGGTAGGTAATAAATAAGTTGAACAAAACATTAGATTCGGTTTATGCTGCCAACAGATAAGTATTTCTAACCCGAGCCTTCAAAACATTATAAAAATTTTATAGTAAACAATGGAGGGGCTTCCCTGGTGGTGCAGTGGGTAAGAATCCGCCTGCCAATGCAGGGGACATGGGTTCGAGCCCTGGTCCAGGAAGATTCCACATGCCACGGAGCAACTGAGCCCGCACGCCACAACTACTGAGCCTGTGCTCTAGGACCTCTGTGCCACAACTACTGAACCTCTGTGCCACAACTACTGAAGCCTGCACACCTAGCATCCCTGCTCCGCAACAAGAGAAGCCACCGCAGTGAGAAGCCTGTGCACCGCAACGAAGAGTAGCCCCACTCGCCACAACTAGAGAAAGCCCGTGCACAGCAACGGAGACCCAGTGCAGCCAGAAATAAAAAAACAAATAAATAAACAAATATTTAGAAAATGGATAATTTATGGAGACTTTCTGGCAATACTGAATGCAAATACAGGTAAATCTTCTCTAACTAACTCAGTTTTGGAACGTCTAAACATCCTATAATCTCAGAGACACAACACCATACCTATCAGTAATAGATAATACTTTCTAGTTGTCTAAAGATTCAGTTTGTCAAATCATCTCGTTAATTTTTATCAGGTTGGGTCTTGCATTGCGTTTGCTAAATTGGGAGAATAACAGACTCAGATTCTACCTGCAGTTCCTGTAAGCTCTCTCAGAATACAAAGGAGCACGGGGCCCCACTTTTGTTCCTCCCAATTCAATCCTGTTATTCGATGCAGAAGTTACAAAGCTTCATACATATACAGATATCCGCTCCCTTTTGGACTTCCCTCCCATTTAGGTTACCACAGTGCACTAGGTGAGTTCCCTGTGCTATACAGCATGTTCCCATCAGTTGTCCATTTTATACATTGTATCAATAATGTATCTGTGTCAATCCCAGTCTCCCAATTGCTTCCACCCCACCCCTTTCCCCCTTGGTATCCATACATTTCTTCTCTGCGTCTGTGTCTCTATTTCTTCTTTGCAACTAAGATCATCTGTGCCATTTTTCTAGATTCCACATGTATGCAATAATATATATTTGCTTTTCTCTTTCTGACTTCACTCTGTATGACACTCTCTAGGTCCATCCATGTCTCTACAAATGACCCAATTTCATTCCTTTTTATGGCTGAGTAATATTCCATTGTATATGTATACCACATCTTCTTTATCCATTCCTCTGTCAATGGCCATTTAGGTTGCTTCCATGTCCTGGCTATTGTAAATAGTGCTGCTATAAACATTGGGGTTCATGTGTTTTTCTGAACTATGGTTTTCTCTGGGTATATGCCCAGTAGTGGGATTGCTGTATCACATGGTAGTTCTATCTTTAGTTTTTTAAGGAACCTCCATACTGTTCTGCATAGTGGCTGTATCAATTTACATTCCCACTAACAGTGCAAGAGGGTTCGCTTTTCTCCACACCCTCTCCAGCATTTATTGTTTGTAGATTTTTTGATGATGGCCATTCTAACCCTTGTGAGGTGTTACCTCATTGCAGTTTTGATTTATATTTCTCTGATTAGTGATGCTGAGCATATTTTCATGTGTTTGTTGGCCATCTGTATGTCTTCTTTGGAGAAATGTCTATCTAGGTCTTCTGCCCATTTTTTGATTGGGTTGTTTGTGTTTTTGATATTGAGCTGTATGAGCTGCTTGTATATTTTGGAGATAATCCTTCTTCAGTTGCTTTGTTTGCTTTGTTTGTTTATGGTCTCCTTTGCTGTGCAAAAGCTTTTAAGTTTAATTAGGTCCCATTTGTTTATTTTTTAATTTATTTTTATTTATTTTTTTACATCTTTATTGGAGTATAATTGCTTTACAATGGTGTGTTAGTTTCTGCTTTATAACAAAGTGAATCAGTTATACATATACATATGTCCCCATATCTCTTCCCTCTTGCGGCTCCCTCCCTCCCACCCTCCCTATCCCACCCCTCCAGGCGGTCACAAAGCACCGAGCTGATCTCCCTGTGCTATGCGGCTGCTTCCCACTAGCTATCTACCTTACGTTTGGTAGTGTATATATGTCCATGCCTCTCTCTCGCTTTGTCACAGCTTACCCTTCCCCCCCCATATCCTCAAGTCCATTCTCTAGAAGGTCTGTGTCTTTATTCCTGTCTCACCTCTAGGTTCTTCATGACATTTTTTTTCTTAAATTCCATATATATGTGTTAGCATACAGTATTTGTCTTTCTCTTTCTGACTTACTTCACTCTGTATGACAGACTCTAGGTCTATCCACCTCATTACAAATAGCTCAATTTCGTTTCTTTTTATGGCTGAGTAATATTCCATTGTATATATGTGCCACATCTTCTTTATCCATTCATCCGTTGATGGGCACTTAGGTTGTTTCCATCTCCGAGCTATTGTAAATAGAGCTGCAATGAACATTGTGGTACGTGACTCATTTTTGAATTACAGTTTTCTCAGGGTATATGCCCAGTAGTGGGATTGCTGGGTCATATGGTAGTTCTATTTGTAGCTTTTTAAGGAACCTCCATATTGTTCTCCACAGTGGCTGTATCAATTTACATTCCCACCAACAGTGCCAGAGTGTTCCCTTTTCTCCACACCCTGTCCAGCATTTATTGTTTGTAGATTTTTTGATGATGGCCATTCTGACTGGTGTGAGATGATATCTCATTGTAGTTTTGATTTGCATTTCTCTAATGATTAATGATGTTGAGCATTCTTTCATGTGTTTGTTGGCAGTCTGTATATCTTCTTTGGAGAAATGTCTATTTAGGTCTTCTGCCCATTTTTGGATTGGGTTGTTTGTTTTTTTGTTATTGAGCTGCATGAGCTGGTTATAAATTTTGGAGATTAATCCTTTGTCAGTTGCTTCATTTGCAAATATTTTCTACCATTCTGAGGGTTGTCTTTTGGTCTTGTTTATGGTTTCCTTTGCTGTGCAAAAGCTTTGAAGTTTCATTAGGTCCCATTTGTTTATTTTTGCTTTTATTTCCATTTCTCTAGGAGGTGGGTCAAAGAGGATCTTGCTGTGATTTATGCATAGAGTGTTCTGCTTATGTTTTCCTTTAACAGTTTGATAGTTTCTGGCCTTACATTTAGGTCTTTAATCCATTTTGAGCTTATTTTTGTGTATGGTGTTAGGAAGTGATCTAATCTTATACTTTTTCATGTACCTGTCCGGTTTTCCCAGCACCACTTATTGAAGAGGCTGTCCTTTCTCCACTGTACATTCCTGCCTCTTTTATCAAAGATAAGGTGACCATATGTGCGTGGGTTTATCTCTGGCTTTCTATCCTGTTCCATTGATCTATCTATCTGTTTTTGTGCCAGTACCATACTGTCTTGATTACTGTAGCTTTGTAGTATAGTCTGAAGTCAGGGAGCCTGATTCCTCCAGCTCCATTTTTCTTTCTCAAGATTGCTTTGGCTATTCAGGGTCTTCTGTGTTTCCATACAAATTGTAAAAATTTTTGTTCTAATTCTGTGAAACTGCCCTTGGTAATTTGAGAGGAATTGCATTGAATCTTTAGATTGCTTTGGGTAGTATAGTCATTTTCACAGTATTGATTCTTCCAATCCAAGAATGTGGTATATCTCTTCATCTGTTTATGTCATCTTTGATTTCTTTCATCAGTGTTTTATAGTTTTCTGAGTACAGATCTTTTGCCTCCTTAGGTAGGTTTACTCCTAGATATTTTATTCTTTTTGTTGCAATGGTAAATGGGAGTGTTTCCTTAATTTCTCTTTCTGCCCTTTCATTGTTAGTATATAGGAATGCAAGAGATGTCTGTGTATTAATTTTGTATCCTGCAACTTTACCAAATTCATTAATTAGCTCTAGTAGTTTTCTGGTGGCATCTTTAGGATTTTCTGTGTGTAATATCATGTCATCTGCAAACAGTGACAGTTTTACTTCTTCTT